GAATATTCAGTTGTTAAACAGTGTAAACGACGAATATTCAGTTGTTAAACAGTATAAACGAGATGAGTCATCCTCGTTACAAAGAAGTATAACTGTCAGTTTCTTTCTAACAGATGTGCAGCATCAACTGTCTTTAAGAAAAGGTCGAGTTGTCAGAGCAATATATTAGCTACAAAACCGTGATATTTATGTATATCTGTGAGATCAATGGTACTTGTTTTAAAGGCGCAAGAATACACGACGTATACTTGTTTAAAAAGCTTTGCTTGGCGTAATCAGTGCCGAATATTTAAGGGTTTTAGTAATTAATAGTTTAGCCCGAAGGTTATATTTATGTACGGGAGGAGGGAGAGAGTAAAATATTCTACACAAAGTACAAATTGACTGATTTAACATATGTTTAATACTAACAGGCGTGATAGAATCGAACTAATGACAACAACTTGAGATCCAGGTTCTAAAATCTTCTCTAAACATTAAAACATCTATTTATCGTTAACTGTTTGTTTTTGTTTTTTTGGTATCAATTTACCCCTTTTCTATTTTCAATTTAACACTGCTAACACAGTCCTCAATGGCTCAGGGGCAAGTCAGAGGGCTTATAACGCTAAATATTAGGTTTCGATATCCGTGGTGGGCACAACACAGGTATCTCATTGTATAGCTTTGTGCTATAAAACAAAGAAACAAACAAACTCTTAACCCAGAAACATAAGATAACTATCACTAAAGTATATCCTAGCAACCTGACTTTGTTAACATGGAAACATAAGGATAACTATCACTAAAGTATATCCTAGCAACCTGACTTTGTTAACATGGAAACATAAGGATAACTATCACTAAAGTATATCCCAACAATCTGACATTGTTAACAAAAACATAAGGATAACTATCATTAAAGAATATCCTAGCAACCTGACATTGTTAACATAGAAACATAAGGATAACTATCACTAAAGTATATCCTAACAAACTGACATTGTTAAAAAAAACATAAGGATAACTATCATTAAAGAATATCCTAGCAACCTGACTTTGTTAACATGGAAACATAAGGATAACTATCACTAAAGAATATCCTAGCAACATGACATTGTTAACATAGAAACATAAGGATAACTATCACTAAAGTATATCCTAACAAACTGACATTGTTAACAAAAACATAAGGATAACTACCACTAAAGTATATCCTAACAATCTGACATTGTTAACAAAAACATAAGGATAACTATCACTAAAGAATATCCTAGCAACCTGACTTTATTAACATAGAAACATAAGTATAACTATCACTAAAGAATATCCCAGCAACCTGACATTGTTAACATAGAAACATAAGGATAACTATCACTAATGTATATCCTAACAAACTGACATTGTTAACATAGAAACATAAGTATAACTATCACTAAAGAATATCCTAGCAACCTGACTTTGTTAACATAGAAACATAAGGATAAAAATCACCAAAAATGTCCAAGCGATTTTTTTACTACTGTTATAGGAATGAAAGGATAGCAATGCTAACGATTATCTGAAATCAGCCAACGTAGTCCTATAAACAAAAAACAGTGGAGTGTTTCAGATATGAATGTCGCATGCAGACCGTCTGGTTCTATAAAATACTGACGGTTTTTCTGATTTTTAGGCCTACAGCGCACAAAAACTACCTTAAGCTGTTTTGAAGTCCACTACTTTGTAGTTCTTAAGCTTTTATAAAACTTGTCATATCTTCTCTAAGCTTCGAAGTCCATAAACACGTCTGTTTAGTGATTGATGAATGACTACAGTATGATTCTGAAGTTACGGACTATTTCCCAACAACTAAAGAGTAAGATATTTTGTGTTTTTGCTACTTTTAATGAACTAAAAGTGATCTTCATTACTCCAGACGAACAAGAAAAAAGTTCTACTTTTAATAAGAAAAAGTGGATAACCCATCCGGGTAAAACCTAAATCCTAAGACTTAATATGTTATTAAACAGAGCCAATAACTTTATAGGTAGCGGGCTGGTAGAATACAACTCTTTTTAGTGCTATTATAATCAATGTTTTTTTCTTTATATTTGTGATAAACTTTATAGTTGTTGACCCTCAACCTCCATCCAAAAGACAAAATTAATCATCACTGTAGAATAATAAACCGGATCAACCTGTGTGTTATTCCTAGTATAAAGGCGAGCCACTATCTCGCCCTCTGGCTGTAGTAAGTTGGGACACTGACAGGTCAAGGGTCAGTATGTTCTAGTGGTCGGCACTGAAATTAATAAAGCTGTTATTTGCATCTCCGAGTAGGTACACTGACAGGTCAAGGATCAGTATGTTCTAGTGGTCGGCACTGAAATTAATAAAGCTGTGCTTTTGCATCTCCGAGTAGGTACACTAACAGGTCAAGGGTCAGTATGTTCTAGTGGTCGGCATTGAAATTAATAAAGCTGTGCTTTTGCATCTCCGAGTAGGTACACTAACAGTTCAAAGGTCAGTATGTTTTGGTGGTCGGACACTGAAATTAATAAAGCTGCTATTTGCATCTCCGACTGGTTTGTACACTGACAGGTCAAGGGTCAGTATGTTCTAGTGGTCGGACTGAAATTAATAAAGCTGCTATTTGCATCTCCGACTGTTTGGTACACTGACAGGTCAATGGTCAGTATGTTCTAGTGGTCGGACACTGAAATTAATTAAGCTGCTATTTGCATCTCCGACTGGTTGGTACACTGACAGGTCAAGGGTCAGTATGTTCTAGTGGTCGGACACTGAAATTAATTAAGCTGCTATTTGCATCTCCGACTGGTTGGTATAGATTATATAATTCATTTGGTTAAATATGTAGTAACTGGTTAAAATATGTAGTAACTGGTTAAATATGTAGTAACTGGTTAAATATGTAGTAACTGTAGTAAATATGTAGTAACTGGATAAATATGTAGTAATTTAACCAGTTACTACATGTTCAACCAGTTACTACATATTTAACCAGTTCTACATATTTTAACCAGTTACTACATATTTTAACCAGTTACTACATGTTTAATCAGTTACTACATATTTAACCAGTTACTACATATTTAACCAGTTACTACATGTTTAACCAGTTACTACATATTTAACCAGTTACTACATATTTTAACCAGTTACTACATATTTAACCAGTTACTACATATTTAACCAGTTCTACATATTTTAACCAGTTACTACATATTTTAACCAGTTACACATATTTAACCAGTCACTACATATTTATCCAGTTACTACATATTTAACCAGTTACTACATATTTTAACCAGTTACTACATATTTAACCAGTTACTACATGTTTAACCAGTTACTACATATTTAACCAGTTACTACATATTTTAACCAGTTACTACATATTTAACCAACATGTAGTAACTGGTTAAATATATAGTAACTGGTTATAATACAAAAGTAACCGCATTTCAGAAAATCAATATTTCATGAAATATTCAGTACAAAAATAACAATATTTATGTTTTAGTGAAATAATGTTAATACGTATACTTTCATACAAGAATGTTCATATCCGTCATTTAATAAATTATGTTCATGTGTTCATTTTAGTATAATAATAATAATAATCTTCTGTACTGTTTAACACAATAATATTCATCTGTACTGTTTAATATAATAATATTAATCTGTACTGTTTAATACAATAATATTAATCTGTACTGTTTAATACAATAATATTAATCTGTACTGTTTAATAGAATAATATTCATCTGTACTGTTTAATAGAATAATATTCATCTGTAATGTTTAATAGAATAATATTCATCTATACTGTTTAACAGAATAATATTCATCTGTACTGTTTAATACAATAATATTCATCTGTACTGTTTAATACAATAATATTCATCTGTACTGTTCAACACAATAATATTCATCTGCACCGTTTAGTGCAATAATAATATTCCGTATTATTTAATTTTTTAGTAGAATAATGATCTCCATTAGCAAAGTTTATGAAGAATACAAACAAACCTGTACATTAAAAGATCTATTTGGCTTGTTGGGTACTATATTTAATTTTTACTTAATTTTATAAATTATGGTGTTTATAAAATAAACAGATAATTGTTTGTTTGTTTTTAATTATGCACAAAGCTACACAAGGGCTATCTGTGCTCTGCCCACCACGGGTATCGAAACCCGGTTTCTAGCGTTGTAAGTCCGCAGACATACCGCTGTGCCACTGGGGGGCAAGGTAAGATAAACAAAATACATCTACCAACCAACAAGATGGTTACAATTTCAGTAAACACAAATATGGCATGATTTAAGTATTCTTAAATAAATAAATAATAGAACAGAATTTTTAGTTATATCTTTCAGCAATCTAGAGTTATTATCAAATTCCTTACAATACAGCCTTTACAAATTAGGGGTTTAACACTTCATATTCAGGTGCTTTAACAGGTTTAACTTAATTTTTTACATCATACTTGGTGTATTATTTGCTCATTAGGGGTTTAACTTAACGGTTGGTGTTTTATGCTTTAGTGCTTAAACACATTTAATTCATTTTACTGTATTTTAATGATCTTTTCATGTATACTAACCAATCACGAACACATGTAACAATGTGTTCATAGATTAAACATATCGTGCTTTCCGTAGTCCACCTATCAACACGGTTAAGCCTAATTCTGTATTCATTAGTCCACCTGTTAATACAGTTCAGTCCAGTTTTATGTTCAGTAATCCACCTATCAACACTGTTAAACCCAACTTTATGTTCAGTGATCCACCTATCAGCACAGTTAAGCCTAACTTTATGTTCAGTACTCCACCTATCAGCACGGTTAAGCCTAACTTTATGTTCAGTACTCCACCTATCAGCACGGTTAAGCCTAACTTTATGTTCAGTACTCCACCTATCAGCACGGTTAAGCCTAACTCTGTATTCATTAGTCCACCTGTTAATACAGTTAACTCCAGTTTTATGTTCCGTAATCCACCTGTTAATACAGTTCAGTCCAGTTTTATGTTCAGTAATCCACCTATCAACACTGTTAAACCCAACTTTATGTTCAGTGATCCACCTATCAGCACGGTTAAGCCTAACTTTATGTTCAGTACTCCACCTATCAGCACGGTTAAGCCTAACTTTATTTTCAGTACAAACAAGCTACACAGAAAAAAAATCATCCTTAACAGAAAGTAGTTACTTTAAAATAACAGAAAATAGTTAAGATTAAAAGAACAGAATTAGATGAGTTTCAAACAGTAGATAACAGTTGATAAGTTTAAAAATAGTAGAATCTATAAAGTTGAAAAACAACAGATAATTATTAAAGTTCAAAATACAAAATAGCTAAGATTAAAAAAAATCAGAAAACAGCTAAGTTTAAAACAATAGGTTTTTGTTGTGTAGCTTTAAATCAATATAAAATAAGCAAGAATTCTAAAGATAAAATTGCTAAGTTTAAAACAACAAAAAGTAGTTTCTTAAAAACGATCTTTATCTGTATATATCTAATAATTAGCACACCAAAGTCAAGTAACAAAACCTAAACAAGAATTATAATTCCCCTTTCCGTTTAATCCGTAATCTGATCCATCAGCTTATCCTAAGACGTATTATCCATCCTAGTTTTGGCTAGCCTATTATAATTCGATATTCTACGTAAAGTCAAATGTGTATTTAATAATGTTTGAGAAATCCAGTAAGCACGAAAGTGATTCCATTTCTTTCTCTAGCGTACCTCTAGTGGTTTAAGTTGTATTTCGCTTTGAATAATATTATTGCCTATTTGCATACCACCGAAACCTCCGTTTTTAATGGCTTAGCACACCACAAACAATTTGCTTTGTTTGTTCCGTTACGATCGCCAGGCACGCAAGTTATTAATATCTGTTACTAGTGGTTGGGCTGGCACTGGTAGAATGTGTTGGTGTACAAGTAAAACAAACATGTTACTTAAACCTAAGTATATGATATATTATTGTGTGCCATAAATAATGAACTGCCGTCTACATTTAGAACTTTCATTATCATATTATACTTTACAAAACACCTAGCGGCCTGAATAGACAGTTTCATGATAAACTCTACAAGTTACACGACGCCTAGTGGCTAGAATACACAGTGTCATGATAAACTCCATAAGTTACACGACGCCTAGTGGCTAGAATAGACAGTTTCATGATAAACTCTACAAGTTACAACACACCTAGCGGCTAGAACAGACAGTGCCATAGTAATTTCGAGAATCTACAAGACATGTACAGGCTAGAATAAACAGTTTCGTGATCAACTCTATAAGTTACAAGACCCCTAGCGGCTAAAATAGACAGTTTCATGATAAACACTAAAAGCTAAAAGACATCTAGCGGCTAGAATAGACAGTTTTATGATAAACTCTGCAATTTACAAAACACCTAGCGGCCTGAATAGACAGTTTCATGATAAACTCTACAAGTTACAAGACCCCTAGCGGCTAAAATAGTCATAATGGTTTAAAATTCCATGGAACATCATACGTTTGTTTCCTTTTCTTAGGTTGTTTCATCGCTTGATTTTTTTTTAAAGTTCTAACAACAATAATCCTTGTTACTGCCCTCATATCTTTCTTATGTTAATTATTAACACAAAAAAATCGTAGCGTCATCTATTGACGAAGCTAGACTGTAATATAATTAAATCCTTACTGTAGTTTCAAAACTCGTACATTTACGTTAAAGTAAATATATGTCATTCTGTACTTACATAATTCTTTGTTTTACATATATATATATACCAAATATAGTAACACCACAATACTGAACGCTTTATTTATTTCTTACCGGTTTCGTGTAATTATACAGAGAATCTATGATAAAGTCCTACAGATGTCCCTTTTCAACTAGACATGAATTAAATATATAATTTTCTAAAACATACTCCCATATGTATATATGTGAATATACTTACAAGCCTGTAGTTTAAAACTATATCTGAATATACTTACAAGCCTGTAGTTTAAAACTATATCTGAATATACTTACAAGCCTGTAGTTTAAAACTATATCTGAATATACTTACAAGCCTGTAGTTTAAAACTATATCTGAATATATTTACAAGCCTGTAGTTTAAAACTATATCTGAATATACTTACAAGCCTGTAGTTTAAAACTACATGTAGATACTTACAAGCCTGTAGTTTAAAACTACATGTAGATACTTACAAGCCTGTAGTTTAAAACTACATGTAGATACTTACAGGCCTGTAGTTTAAACTATATGTAGATACTTACAGGCCTGTAGTTCAAAACTACATGTAGATACTTACAAGCCTGTAGTTTAAAACTACATGTAGATACTTACAAGCCTGTAGTTTAAAACTACATGTAGATACTTACAGGCCTGTAGTTTAAAACTACATGTAGATACTTACAAGCCTGTAGTTTAAAACTATATGTAGATACTTACAGGCCTGTAGTTTAAACTATATCTGAATATACTTACAGGCCTGTAGTTTAAAACTACATGTAGATACTTACAGGCCTGTAGTTTAAACTATATGTAGATACTTACAAGCCTGTAGTTTAAAACTATATGTAGATACTTACAGGCCTGTAGTTTAAAACTATATGTAGAATTTGTTTCAGTCTGTATTTTTCGCTCACGTTAGGGATAGGGAAAACATCAAGGTGCCCTTGTATTAAGGAATAGTACCACAGGAATTGGAAGTTTGCGTCATAACATGTAAGTACAGGGAATCTTGGATTGAGTACTTTAGGTACATTCCCCATCATAACCTATAATTACAATGAGTTCTGGATTAAGTACCTCAGATCCATTCCCCATCATAACCTGCAAGTACAGTAAGTCTTGGATGGAGTATCTCAGATCCATTCCCTATCATAACCTGTAAGAACAGTAAGTCTTGGATTAAGTACC